CTTGACTCTTAATTATTAGAACAATCAAATTTGAATGATGATGGAAAATTCGAAGAATGAACCACTCAGGAACATTAGCGCCATTTATTGCTAGAACGCGCCATTTTCCGTAAAACGAACTGGTACACGTATTTAATGAACTTTAATGCACTCATTTTAATTCGGCAGAAACATTCTGTTCAATGAAAAACACTCCAAATATTAATTGGTAAAATTTAATGAGAATCTTTCTAAACATAAGCTCGATATCACACAAAATTCAACTTAACCTAAAATTCACCAATTCGTATCAGGTACGTACAGTGTTGGGTGGGGGCGTGCCACGAAACTCACATTATTTATGATAAAATCGTTATATATATGGCGAACATGCTCCCCAAACATTACAATGTCATTTAAATGCTTTCAAAAAGAAGTTCCACGATTTATCGTACATACCTACGCGTTCCCTTGATATCTCGAATTTGTTCAAAATCACGCGCCCACCATTGCTGTCCCACAGTGCACTACGCACCGCTGTGTACAAACAGACCTAAAGGTCGTTTAATGCTAAAACGACAAATTATAGATAAAATAAATGTTTCACGATAAACACAAAATGAATTCTCTTCACGATTAAGTTACAAAGAATCAATATTCCTTTTAGTAGCTAAATTGGCCAACAATGCAAAGCGATATTTTCGCGCACTTTGCAGATTTCGATTTCGCCATTTTTGCTGTTCCGCGGCTAAAAACACGTCAACCAATTGAGCGCCCTCTTGAACCAATAAAAAAGAAAGTTGTCTGTAAAAAAATTAATCTCAAAGGCGCTAAAGCAATAAAATTTAAGGAATCAAACTTTTTTAATTTTCACTTTTTTCTAATAAGTTTGTAATAGGCTATATTTTTTCTGTTTAATATCACACATAATCTATAGAAAATTAATATAAAAAATGAAAGTATAATCGATATAATTATAAAATGAGGTAGTTGATTTCAGACATATATTTTTTATTACATGTCAAAAGCTACTACTTCCTAAAAAACATTTTAATCATTTAATATATGTATATAGATCGGTAATTAAATATATATATATATATTAATATACAGATAATTCATTTAATTTTCTGTTGTTTAATGCTTTTCTATAACGAGTGTATATTGTTTAAATATTTTATATAAAATTTTTCATGATATCATTCTTCTTTGGCGGGAAAGTAATGATACGATTGGTCAAATTCTAAGATATTGTTATTTGATTGGTTAAATTATATTCGATATGATATTGTGTCGTAAAATATTAAAACTGATTTTATATTATTTTACTAATACAAAATAATCTTATTATTCTATTTTTAAAATCTGTTTATACAAAATGTGTTAAAATTATCAGTCAATGAAATAACTAAATATATATGTATATGTGTGTGTATGTATGTGTGTGTGTTTTTATAGGTGTAGAAAATTCTACAACGCCACCAAACGACATCATGCAATTATTTTATAGAAATAGAAGTTCGTCAATTTAAATATCATGAATATTGGTATTTGTTCTGAAATAAATTGTAGTTCGTGGCCGATGTTCGTCGAAAAGATGGTGACGGTAGCCGCTGTACGTCAACAACTCGCAAATTTGGCACATTCTGGCGGTTCTCATAAGGATCAAGCCGAAAAGTAAACGCAATTAAATAAATCTCATTTATTTTGTCCTTATTGCGCGATAAAAAAAAACAATAATTTCTTTTCTAGGTATCGTTCAATTTTAGATGCGATACTAGCTTCGGCTAACTCAAACCAAACACAAGCCAACGGAGAGCTTGTCGATGCTTTAAAGGCTTTCATCGAAGCAAGTATGTTGTTTTTATTATCGTCAATGACATTTTTAAATATATATGTTCATTTATTTATATATAAATAAATAATAACGAATTTATGCGTTTCAGTTGTAAATGAAAATGTAAGTCTAGTGATATCAAGGCAAGTTTTGACAGACGTTAGTAGTAGATTACTTTCTCTACCTGATGAAATTTCTAAGGCTGTCTCACATTATACTTTAGATAAGGTATTTTGCTTTTTTCAATTCAAATAGAACACTTTTATCATATTAGGAAGATACTTAGATTATTTTTATAGGTTCAACCACGAGTTATCTCTTTTGAGGAACAAGTAGCTAGTATAAGACAACATTTGGCTGATATTTATGAACGCAATCAAAATTGGCGAGAAGCAGCAAATGTGTTAGTAGGAATACCACTTGAGACAGGACAAAAGTAATTATTTGTAAACTAAATTTTATATGCAAATAGTAATCTATTAACTTTTCGAACATATATATACATATATATGTATATGTATAATATGAAATTTATAATATTTTGCAGACAATATACGGTTGATTATAAACTCGAAACTTATCTTAAAATTGCACGATTGTATCTAGAAGATGATGATCCAGTACAAGCTGAAGCTTTCATTAATAGAGCATCTCTCTTGCAGGTAAATTTATTTAAAGATATATTTTATGTCATAACAATATAAATCCTCTATATATAATATTAATTATTTTATTTCTATATTTATATTATAGGCAGAATCTAAAAATGAACAATTACAAATCTATTATAAAGTTTGTTACGCGAGAGTATTAGATTACAGAAGAAAATTTATAGAAGCGGCACAAAGATATAACGAATTATCATATAGATCTATTATACACGAAGATGAACGAATGACTGCTCTTAGAAATGCATTAATTTGTACAGTACTTGCTTCAGCTGGTAATTTTATATATATATTTTTTTTTAATGTTTTGATTTATAAATTGTAATAAATTAGTAACTAATTTATAACAGGACAACAAAGAAGTCGTATGCTAGCAACATTATTCAAAGATGAACGTTGTCAACAACTTCCTGCATATTCAATTTTGGAAAAGATGTACTTAGATCGTATAATTCGTCGTTCTGAACTTCAAGAATTTGAAGCTCTTCTACAACCACATCAAAAAGCTTGTACTATTGATGGATTGGGATCTACTATTCTTGATAGAGCCGTTATTGAACATAATTTATTATCTGCTAGCAAATTATATAATAATATTACCTTTGAAGAATTGGGTGCTTTACTGGAAATTCCACCAACGAAAGCTGAAAAAATTGCTAGTCAAATGATAACTGAAGGCAGAATGAATGGTTATATTGATCAAATTGATTCTATTGTACATTTCGAAAGTAAGTATAAATATTAATATATCTTCCGTAGGAAATAATTAATTTTTATTTAAAATAATTTTTGCTTTTTCAGCACGTGAAACATTACCAACTTGGGACAAACAGATACAATCATTGTGCTATCAAGTAAATCAAATAATAGAAAAGATTGCCCAAACTGAACCAGAATGGATTGCAAAAGCAATAGAAGATCAACTAGTTCACTAACATCAGTCTTTGTTTAATAATGAAAAGAATTCTCATGGTATAGGTAATCTACTTTTGTGTTTAATTTTTCATCCAGCATTTGGTTACTATCACTTTCTTATGATCAAACATACAGATTTATTATGCTAGGGAAGCTTTTACCTTAGTATATACAAAATCTCTATTGTATTATTATTATAATATAAAGATACAATTTTTTCAAAAGTTAAAAAACTTGTAAGCGCTACATAAAAATTATAGAAAACTTTCATGTGTCTAATTTATAGATTACCCAATTTCTGTGTTTATTATCCAAGAAAGAAATTAAACAAATTTATAAAATAAAAAAAAAACGGTAGTAAATATTGATATATACATATAAATAGTAAGAAAAAAAAAATTAGATGTATTTTCTGTACAGATTACATTATCCCTACTATTAATCAATGTTATTAATGTTAAAAAAAGAAATAGGAGAGATATTTATATTATTTATCAATTTTTTATGTTTTATAACTCATAATTAAATTAACACTATAAAACTTTAACACATGTTATTTTCAAAACTCATTTATATTTTCTATATAAAATAAAGCTGTGAAGTAATAACTATAAAATTGTGTTGGTGATATATTAGAAACTTGGAAAATATAAGCCATATTTAATGTAAGAATTGCAATTATATATTGCAATTTTTGTTATAAGTTTTGATTATACACACATATATATATATATATACATATATGTATATCATGAACAAGCGATTCTAAGTCCGAGTCTAGTCTAGTGAAAAACGAAAGAAAATGAAAGAAAAAAAGATATTTGTTAGTTTATGCAGATTTACGATTAAAGCAAATATTTCCTAATTTCATAATAAATTAAAAAATAAAATGGCACTTATTTACCAAGAATTGAAAAATATACCTACCCAGTATATGTAGTGATATTCCAGCAATAAGAAAAAAAAATATATATATATATGTATTGCGGTACTAAGAATAATATCTTTATAAATTTTATAGCATTATTGTTTTAATAGTTATTTGACATAGATAATGAATGGTCTAAAGAAATATCAGATTAAAGAAGGATATTGTCTTTAAAATGTACTAGAGCTAGACAACGACTTAATCTCACTATTTACATTATAAGTAGTATAATTGAATATATGAGATTGTGTACCACATGCATCAATCTTTATGATATTATATCATACTAGGAACAAAATTGTTGTACTATGGGGCATTGATAAAAGATATGTTATGTGCAAAATAATTTTTTGTCAATAAAATGTATTGCTCGTTTTGTGAATGAATGTTAGAATTCTTATATAAATACATTGGTGAGAAGTACTAAATTCTGTTGTTTGAATAAGTCAACAAAGTGAATATACATGCATTATTGCAAATTTTCTTGTAGCACATAATGGCAGTCAAGTTTAATATTAATTTATGTGAATGTAATTTCACATATATTTTATCCCCTTCTTTGGTACAACATTGTGTAGCAAATATTTTATTTTGTTACAGAATTAAACTGTTCTGAAAAATCTAGCAATAAATTATTATATATATGTAGGATATTATTAAAGTAAAGAACGAATAATCATACCACACATATCTTTTTTTACTTGCATTATAGAAGATACTTTTTTAACAATTCAATGTATTTTATCCCATGATTATGATTTTAAATATATTTAGTCCTTGTAACTGCTTAAAAATGATGCATAACCTTTTTGTGTGGCATCTACTTAAGGATAAACCTATCTATATGTTATAGGTAATATTTTTATTTTTATTTGAAGCATGTACTGTGTTGCAGTTTTTATGACATAAAAGTCATGAAGTCTAACTTTTTTAGACATCTTTTTTTTTTCTTTCTAAACGTTAATACTTAAGCCTCAAGATTTAATGCTAAACCAATTTTGTGTCCACCAGAACTAAAGTTCTTTCCATCAATATTGGTAGAAAGAGTCAAAGTTACACCTGTAAAACATATTAATGAAATATATGAAGAAAAAAATTGATAAATATATTGACTCGGTGTGCTTAATATGTTACAGGGGAAAATATATTAATGAAAAATGAACAATATAACTTGGACTTACCATCGCGAAGTTTCTGTTGATATCCCAAACCTATTTGAAGTTGAGAATTAACTTTGGCCCTAACACTTGCATCATTATCAAGATTATACTTGGTACCAAGTCCAAATTGTGTCACATTATTACTTGAATTCCAAGCCAAATTAATGGCACCTTCCAAGTCAGGTTTTACTTTATGATAAATGGAGGCACCAAATTCACGCCCATTATCTCTATATTGACATTACCAAAACAAATATTATTTTAAATAAAAATTATTATTATCTATTTGAAATATGTAATGCTTACACAGAAGTGTGGAAAGCAAAATCAGAAGCAGTAAATCCAAGAGCAAAATTATTCTTTGTAAGCTTGCTTCTCTGCGAGTCGAAAGAAGCTTGATAACCAGCAAGCCACCCTGAAAGCAATTACAATACAATAAATTAGAAGTTACATTAAACTTTTTTGTGCCTATTCCATTATCGCCTTACATGTTCGCCCTGGAATATCATGAAAATCACAAACACGAATCAAGGAAAAGATTAGAAAGGAGCACTTATGGAATGGATTGAACATTTAAATAATAAAATTTTTATCAGTTTCAAAAAAATAATTTAAAACAAATATTTTGGGAAGTAGGAATGATAATTAAACAATAATATTTTCGTAAAAGATGTTATAAATGATGTTGTTAATTTTTTTATTTACACAACTTGAATGTATTGCTGTTATAGATAGAAGTGCAATAGAATTAAACCTAGTATATCACATATAATAGGTTTATAAAAAAAGTGAATATTTATTTACAAAAAAATGTTTATAATTACCTTGATATCCTACAACTGCAGTAGCATTAATGAGTGGACCGGTAGAAAGACTTAAATCAAAGTCAGCAGTTGCTGATACATTTTCATGTTTGTAAGTAGTCTTCAATTGTCCTGTTTTAGTGCTGCAGTAGAACAAGTTTTTGTTTGGTCAAATAAATTTAGTTTTACAATTAACATAAAAGATCCCTTACCCAGTCTGAGGTGAAAAAGTACAACTGTAACCAATGCTAAGTCCATTAAGTAATTTATCTGCGATAGATATATCAGTTGCAAGAGTATTATCGGTATTCCATTTCTCACTAAATGTCAAACCATATTCCTTGATCTTATATTTGGTTTCCAAGGTAGCAAATACTTTTCCAGTATCTTGATTAGATACTCCACCACTGGAGAACTCAACGCCAGAATCAGTCTTGGTTTTGACATCTAATTTTAAGAGGCCAAAATGATAACCATTAGTAAATACATCACGAGCACTTTTGCCAAGATCTTTGTAAGTCGGAGGAGCCATATTCGTTAAAGTTCCTGAAAGATTAATATTATTGCATTGTAAATATTTTATATTTTAATTTAAACCTAAACAAATAAGTTTTAAATTTATACAATAGATGAGTAAATATAACAAATTTAATTTTTTTCTTTTTTTTTTTTCTTGTATTGTACTTATAATAATGACAAAAAATTTATTATTATTATATATATATATATATACACACATATATAATTTTTAATTATATAACAGTTAATAAAAAGGGATTTAGATATACGTAAAAGCTCTTAGATTAATCTTCGAACCAAAGTATAAAATATTTCGGACAAAGATACATTGTTGAGATAAAACAAAAGAATGTCCAGAGATAAAAAAGAAAGGAACAATTTTTATCGCCAATAAACTATAACAACGTTAACTATCAGTAATAATTGAATTTGTTAAAAAAAGAAAAAAATATATTACGTTGCCAGGAATTGGTTATGAAGAAAGTGGGTTCGTGGCGTTACGCGAAAATGGAATGATATTGACCTGTTTCAGATATTACATAAGGACCAGAAAGATAATTTTTGTTTTATATTTGACTAGGAGAAATTGATATAAGTCCGATAAGCGAGGTTAGTTATGAATCGTAAAGAAAAAAAAGGAAAACGTTTAACCCGTATAATCAGAGAATTGTTTCGAAAGAGAAGTAGTATTTCGATTAAAGATCGCTGCCATCATACAAACGACATTGCCTCTTACTGATTAAAGCCGGTAGATATTTTTTTCCGTACTTTCGTCGTGTCCATACTCTTTATACATTTATCGACGACCCAATACGTAATTATTATTTAAAATTACGATATCGTTTGATTTTTACTTACAGTTTTATGTCAGGAGATAACTCGAGTATAGGAAATCGTGTGACTTCACAGAAGAATTGCGTTACACGAGACCGTCTACCGTTGATACTGAGGGGAGATATAGGCTTATGTCTATCTGCGCATGCGCCGCCGAGCTAAACCTTAAATTTACAAACATTTTTCTTACGCTATTTTTATACACTCCCGTCTTTCGGACGACTAAGTAATTGAAATTATTCTCTGAAACATCATTTATATATATATATATATATGTATACATTTATTTTTCTATTATAAAATAAAAATTCTTTTTATTTCATTTATTTCATTATTGCATCGATCATCCTCCAGACTATTACGTAACCTCCAAGGAGTTATACCTCCCACCATGACTCTGCATAGGCGTGGATTTTGCACGCATCGTATCTGTTTTATCTGGTGCGTTTATTGAACTTTGCTAGCACAAGAATTATTTCTTAGAGTAAACATTTTTTTTTTTTTTAACGCAACATATATTTTAATTTAATAACGATTACATGCAAAATACGAATTACTTATCTTCAGCTAACTTCTCGACTCTTTCTTTATATTTTTATTTTCTTTCTTTTTTTTTTCTTGCTTCCTTTCTTTCTTTCTTTTTTACTTTTGTTTTTCTTTTTTTCTTTCTTTTTTTTTTAAATATGCCTACAACCAAGTTATAAAAGAAAAACAAAAAAATAAACAAAAAAAAGAATTGTAATAGATCCTTCTAAGTTTCGTATTTCTTACGAAATCTTATATATTATTCGTATTATGTAGTTTAGATACTTATTGTTAGATCTTCATAGTCTGTTGCACACAGGAGTAATTTATGTTATTCTACCGGAAACCGTATTATATGTCTATAAATTAATTTTTCTTTAGAATTTCTAATTATATCTATATAAAGAGAGAATTATTCTGATATCAATTACATTTTTACAATATTTTTTATATGATTCTTAGATTAACATCTAATGCAAGAGACAAAAGCACGTGTATTGAACCTTATGGTATGCGCTTAGGCACGTGACATCGAAGAGCTAAATAAATAACATTAGATTCTAAATAAAATCAAAATACAAACGTATGACACGGCGTGTTTAAAAACTTTAATAGACAATTATATCATTTATTGTTGTTCAATAATAGACAATTAATTATTTATAACTATTGCATCTCTTTGCATTATCTTGCATAAGTTCTTTCAAAATCTTTTTTTCTTGCCGTTCACTTTTTGTTTGATTTTTATTCTTTTGTATTTTTTTTTTTTTTCAATTTTTATATATATATATATATATATATATATTATTTTTTTTGTTAAATATCTATTTTTCGTACGATAGAAAAAGTTATATTAGTTTGAAAAAAAAATGAACATAAGTAAAGAGACTTTCCGTAGATCGACTGCGGGATCTAAAAATATATCTACTGGTGGTCCACGGTAAAACGGTGCAAAACGTTTCTATAGTATGCATCTGTTGCTTTCAAGTCAGTGGTAGAACTTGGTAGCATGTTCTAGATTATACTATTGGCAAGATCAGCCAATTGGTATTTTTGATAAAATATATATATATGTATATATATAATAAATCAGACGAATTTTGTTTTTAGTTGTCCGAAAGTACTCAACGAAGTCATTTGCTTATTATTAGTTGTAAGAAAAGAAATTAATTAAGGATAGAACAAAGTGAAGACGAATAATGTCGGAAGAAAAAGTAAGTGTTTGTTTGTTTATCTTTCTTTATTTAATAATATATTTTCCAAATACTCCACGCGATGTTGTTTTTTTTAATTATTTTTTTTTTAGTGCACATTATTTTTTTTTCTTGTGTAATTTTAAAAGCGCACAGTTCGAAAGTGTATATAGTGAAACTACAAAGTATCAATGCATCTTGGCCATATCAGTTTTAATAATAATTTAATATATATATATATATATATATATATATATATATATATATATATATATGTATATTTATGAAGTGAAAATATTTAAAACAAACATTTAAATTAACGTCAATGTGTATATTTTTTAGGAACCGGTTCAAACGAAGGCTTATAATATTCGCCAGAATGATAAAGTGGGAAAGTAGGATCGATAAAAATTTGCTTCGTATAATTTTAATTAAAATATTCAATAAGAAAAAGATTGAAAGAAAACGAATATTATTTTTTTTGTTTTTATAGATACATGGTTGCAAGTAGAGAATTGAAACCTGGTGAAGAAATCGTGACGGAGATGCCATTCATTGTTGGACCAAAGGCTTTCACTTATCCTTTGTGTCTTTCTTGTTATGTACCATGGCCACCTACCCTTAAAGATAAGCCACTTTGTTCGAAATGCAGTTGGCCAGTTTGTGGTCCAGAATGTGAAGATCAACCACAACATAGAGACTACGAGTGCCCGGTAATAATTAATTAATTAATTAATTAATTAATTAATTAATTAAATAAATTTTGTGAATCCTCAAAATTGAATTTCTGCAATGAAAATATAATTCACATGTATATGTATATTTATATGTAAATAATATGTATATATATTTTATGTTTTATGTATCATGGTTGTATAGGTATTCGTACAAGCAAAAGAAAAATTTAATGTATCCGCGGCTTTGGAACAAAATAACGAAAATGGTGTTCCCCAATTGGAATGTATCACCCCTTTGAGATTATTATTAGAATCTTTAAAAAATCCAGAGAAATGGGAAAAGGAAGTGAAAAGTATGGAAGCCCATAATAAAATAAGAATTCAGAAACCTCATTGGAAGTCGGATCAAGTGAATGTCGTTGAATATTTAAGGAATCAACTCAAATTGGACAAGTATAATATATACATACATATATATATATATATATATATATATATATAATGACATTAATCGATTTACAAATTAATTTATATATATATTATACTTAATTTATGAATTTTAGATTCTCCGAAGAAGAAATACAAACGGCTTGTGGTATCTTGGAAATTAATACTTTTGAAATAAGAACTTCGAAAGGATTCAGTGCTAGAGCACTTTATCCAACAGTTGCAATGATGAATCATTCTTGCGTTTCAAACACATGTCATAGTATATCTCCTTCAGATTATAGGTAAATATTACAATTTTTTATTATATTAATAATTATTATCAATTTTTTTTTATAACACTGGTAAGAATTGTACCGTGTATAAGTATTATATATACGCTGAGAACAATCAAGATATACCGAACAGCCATGGTGTTAGCACATCTTACGTAGCATAATAAATAATTAAAATTTTTTTCTCTTTTTCTTTTCAGGATATACTTACGTACTACTATCAGGGTACCCGAGGGCGGTGAACTTTATGGAAGTTACACGCATTCTCTTTTCCCAACAATGTTAAGAAGGGAACACCTTTTCGAAGGGAAACACTTTGCGTGTGCTTGCCCACGTTGTTCAGATCCAACTGAGCTGGGAACGCACATGTCTTCATTGAAATGTAATAAATGTGATAATGGGATAGTCTTACCATTAGATTCTTTAGGTACTTAAAATAATTATTATTATCATATATATCATATATATAGTAGTAAATCTATTCCTAATTTTCTTATATACCAATTAAATCTATATTACCATTATTTATTTTACATGAATATAGACGAGAAGAGTATATGGAAATGTACTCATTGCGAGTTCACGACTCCTAGCACGGCAGTTAAAAAAGTATTTCAATTAATTCATGCTGATGTCGAAGCTGTCGAAACCATTAGCGGTGCTGATGGGTCTGATGCCATTCATGAGAGGGAAACCGTTATGAAAAAATATCGTTCGGTTTTACATCCACGACATGCTTTCCTTACCATGTTAAGGTAATTATATAGAGGGCGAGCCTCTAATTCCTAGACGGATCAAAAATTCAGTAGATGATTTTAAGTATCATTTTCTATAACTATAAGCTTGTAAAACTACAAGCTAAAATTAAAATTATACAGAGTAAATTATAAGTCTAATTATAAGCTTAACAAGATTAATAATAATCCTAAAATATATCGAAAAAGAATAATCGATTTTTAAAATCACCTTATGTACTTTTGACTCATTTTGTACTTTTAAAAAGTTTTGTTAAATTTTTGAAAACAGATATACGTCTGATCAAAATTATGATGGTAAAAAAAAAAATATCATTACATTTTAGACATTCGCTGACTCAAATGTACGGACGAGTTGATGAATATCTATTGGACGATTTGCCACTGGTAGTATTAGAACACAAAGTCGACATGTGTAGATTGTTACTTCAAGTATTAGACGTCATAGAACCCGGTTATTCGCGAATAAGAGGTAAATATTTCTATTTATATATGTATATATATATATATATATATATATATATATATATAATATATACAATAGATATATTATAAAAGAATCTTATCAATAAATGAATCATAATGAATGTATTTTTTAGGAATGACGTTATACGAATTACACGCGCCTCTTCTCTTCTTGGCAAAGGATCAATGGAATGCCGGTACTATCGATCAAGCTGGATTGAAATCAAAAATGATAGAAGCTTCGATAATACTGAAGGAAGCTGCAACTATCTTAACTTTCGAACCTACGGATACACCTGAAGGTCAAATAGGAATTGTTGCTAAACAATCATTGGAACAACTCGAACAATCTATTCAAGAATTATAATTTATTTTAATTTATAAATGTATTTATGTATTATAATTTTTCTCTACATGCGCATAGATGTAAACAATAAAGTATTTTAATGATAATAATCAAATGTCTCGATTTTCTTTTTTCTTTCAGTAATCACTTACAATAAAGTTTTGATAATTACTATTCATGCACACACACACATATATATATATATATTTTTTCTTTTTTTTTCTCTTTTAATGCACCCCCGCAATGTGAAAGATGCGTGTGTCAATAACCGTATGTTACTTCATTTCTAATTTTATTCTGGTATCGTGTGCTCTCTAACAGCGACAGATCGACTTCTAAGAATATAGCAGTATATTGCGTGGAGGCGCAGCTTCCTGCATTTCGATGTTGGTTTACTACACGCGAAAATTTGTTCACACTTCAGTGAGAACGTTTGATATGGTTAAATAAATTTAGAGAGTATTATACGAGTAAGAAAATGTCCGTAAAGGATACTAGTAAGAGTATTTCCTCAGTTTCGAAACCACAAATATACAAGCTTATACATTCGGAAAAGTTCGGAAGGTACAATTAATTTAGATTCGATCTATGATCCAACCCACGTGTGATCAAATCACACCATTCTTTTTTTTTTTATTCGTTTTTTCTCAGATATCTAATAGCTGGAAAAAATATAAAAGCCGGCGAGGTAATACTTCGAGAAAAGCCTATTGCAGTTGGACCTGGTGTTTTTGAAGATGATTACTTTTGTTTTGCTTGTTTAAAACTCTTGATTAGAGTTAAGAAAGAATTACCGTACGTTTGTAAGAAATGTTGCGTTGCTCCTTTATGTGGTCCAGATTGTGAGGTAACGATAATTTTATGTAAAATCGCTATCGATAAATAATTAAGATTTTTTTTTAGAAATATTAATAATTATTTAACTGTATAGAAAAAAGATGGTCATCATACACCCAAAGAATGTCAAGTTTTCAAAGACAATCAAAATATATCGAAAGATAAAATATACGATATTATAGGAATATTGCTACCTTTGAGATTATTTCTTTTAAAAGACGGAGATCAGGATCTATGGGAAAAAGTGGATCGTATGGAGTCGCATATGGATCAAAGAAGAGACACTCCCATTTGGAAGGACAGAGAAGTTAACGTTATCAAAGTAAATTAATACGAGAAAGAAAGAACTATCAGAAAAAAAAAAATTTGTAACACGACGAAAAGAAATCATTATAAGTACAATTACGCTTAGATTTTTCGTGATCTACAACTGGTGACCAATGATGATATCTCTACGTCGGATTTCTTACAACGGCTCTGCGGGATTCTCGATGTGAACAGTTTTGAATTGCGATCACCTGGTAGATTGGATGCTCTTGTTCTACGTGGATTATACTTGGAAGCTTCTCTTATTGCTCACGATTGTAGAGCAAATACTCATATTACCGTCGATGATCATTTTCAACTCACCGTATATGCCAGTTTACCTATCAATGAGAACGACATAATTTACTTCAATTATACCTCCTCGCTTTTGGTACATTTTATAACTGTATTTTATTAATTAAATAAAAATAGAGATAGATAAATTAGAGTTAACGAATATTTGTATTATGTATTAGGGTTCAGCTGAAAGAAGAGAACATCTTCGGGAAGGGAAATATTTCGAGTGTGAATGTTCGGTTTGTAAAGATCCATATGAATTAGGTTCACATTTAAGTAGTATACGTTGTCCACGTTGCAGAGACGGATATGTGGGAGCTCAAAATCCTTTAGAAGCGAAACCATACAAACGTGACAGTAAATGGCAATGTAATAAATGTAGAAAAACTTACGGTGGTTATCTCATAAGAGCAACATTGAATATAACTCGAGGGCTGATCGACGATTACGATGGAACGAATGTAAAAGTTTGTATTGATCTATATAGATTAACAGTTTCGTGTCAATTCTATGATAATCCTTTAAATACATACAAAATTTGTACTATTCAAGTATTTTTTTTCTCTTTCTTTTTTTTTTTTTTTTGAATTTTCTAATCGCAGGACCTGGAATTTTTGATTAAAAAACTCACGCTATCTTTTCATCCTAATCATTATCTTTTATTGGCATTGAAACAAAAATTATTAGCAGCCTATAGAAAACAAGTGGCAGCACCGAATCCTCAAAGGAAGATCATTCAAAAAATGCTCGATTTGTGTAAGGAAGTTCTTCAAGTATTGGAATTAGTAGAACCTGGTATATCACGACTAAAAGGTAAGTAATTAATTAATATATTCGAATTGGGGTAAGAGAATACAATTGATGTTCACAATTAATGTTGTCATTAAGAAAAGCTTTCTCACATATTGAATGCTTTCTTCTAGCATAAATTAAGATTAGAATGCGCTTATGAGTAGTTTATCTTCCAGAAGAAGGACAATTAGAGCTTGTGCATGAATGTATTGCTATTTTTGTGTTAATTTGATTGGTAGTTAGAAATTAAAAAGAGATATAAATATATATACATATATTATATACTATATAATTTATTATACTGTGTATATATATATATATATATATATGTATGTATACTTTTATATAATATATATTTATATATATCTAAAACATATATTAAATATATACAAGAAAGATGTATATATAAAAAATCAAAGGCCTTCTTCCGAAAGTGTTTGAAAGCATTCACGAAAGAAATAAAGAAGTGTCAGTTTTTTTTTTTTCGTAAAGCATGAGTTTTCAGGTATAATGTTATACGAAATGCACTTGCCTTTGGTGTTGCTGGCTAATCGCGCTTACGCAGCGCGCGAAATTTCCCCCATGGAAATGTCTTCTAAGCTTCGAGAAGCTGGAACACATCTAAGAAAAGCTTTGTCAATGCTCCTTTTGGAACCTGTCGATTCACCTGAGGGACATTTAGCCAAACGTGCTCTTCAAGAATTAAAAATGCTCAATCAAAATATAGCCGATGCTGAAGCACTTCAGCAATCACAAGAAGAATCCAAATCACGTTTATGTAAAGAAAAGAAGAAAAAATAATCTATATAAAATGTGTTGGAAATATCTTTCGATCGTATGTAATACACTGTGTTTATCGATTAGTGGGTTATTAATAAAAACATTATACATGCTCCGTTATTTTATTCTTTATTTTCTAACCTAATTTAATTTATTTTTATTTAATAATTAATTATTTAATTAATCCAAAGTATAATTCAAAATTTATTTTCTTTTTTAAGTAATTTAAAAAATTATATTATTTTTATAATACAAATCGATAGTAATTCGATTATTAATCGGTATTTTTAATTATTCTAAACTAATGTCTGTAAATACTAATGAAGATCGGTATAATTATAAAATTATATTTTTATTTAGATATCTAGATATGGATCTATTTACATATATACTATATATATACTATATATATAGTATTATATACACACACACACATATACACACACATATATATTCGATTTATTGTAAAGCTTAATAACAAACACAAAGCAAGTATCAGATGTATGAAGCGCCATGGCAGGCGGTTGAGGTCAAAATAGTGAACTTTGGGAATATGAATTTAGAAAAATTGATTATTTTAAAGTAACAGTACAATTTCTATTGTGGTTGATAACAATTGTCTCATACATGTAATATATGCGAAGTGTTTATTGATAATTTTTCAAATGAGAACTATTAACATAACCTCATTTTGTGATAATTATTCTGACGTAATATAAAAAAAAAAAAAAAAAAAAAAGTTATTTATAGTTTATTTAAAAACATGTATTTTTCGTTTATTCAAAAGATAAAAACACATTAGTGTACGTGTAAAGTATACAGTTTGTTTTATAATTGTGATTCTTTAATATCTTTTAACAATAACATTATTACAGAACATTATCAATATAGAAAAATGTTCCGGCAAAAATACATTCGAATATGTCTCCCTGCTTGTTTAGCAATAGTTTTCAATTTTTCTCTACATCGCATTGAAGAAGGACATGTTGGTGTTTATTTCAGAGTAAGTAATATCTTACATTAAATTTATGTTACTAATAATAAAAGATTATTTAAATTAAAGTATTGGTTTTTTTTAGGGTGGTGCTTTATTGCCCTACGTTAGTAATCCTGGATTTCACATGATGATACCCGTATTAACCACATATCGATCTGTACAAGTTACATTGCAAACGGATGAAGTTAAAAATGTACCGTGTGGTACTAGTGGTGGTGTAATGATCTACTTTGATCGTATAGAGGTTGTAAATATTTTAGATGCTAACAGTGGTAAGAACATATACATATAAAAGAATATTCTTATAATATTTTTGAAATTTTAGTCATCTTATGAAAATATTTTTTTCATATATATGTTTCATTCTGTAGTTTACACTATGGTAAGAAATTTTACTGCAGACTATGATCGTACTTTGATTTTTAACAAAGTACATCATGAGTTAAATCAGTTTTGTTCAGTACATACTTTACATGAAGTATATATTGATCTATTTGATCAAATAGATGAAAATTTAAAAACTGCTTTGCAAAAAGATCTAAACGATTTAGCACCAGGCCTTAACATTCAGGCAGTAAGAGTAACCAAACCAAAAATTCCTGAGACCATCAGGAAAAATTATGAACTAATGTAAATACTCTAATTTGAAATATTATTATTACAAGTATTTAAATGATAAATGAAATTTTATGTGATATATATTTGTAAATGTAGGGAAGCAGAAAAAACAAAACTCTTAATATCTACACAACATCAAAAAGTGGTGGAAAAGGATGCAGAAACGGATAGAAAAAAGGCTGTCATAGAAGCTGAAAAAGAAGCACAAGTTGCAAAAATACAGTACAATCAAAAGATCATGGAAAAAGAGTCTCTTCAACGAATTGCAGCTATAGAAGATGAAATGCATGTTGCTAGACAAAAAAGTCGTTCCGATGCTGAATATTATCAATTAAAAATGCAAGCAGAAGCAAACAAACTACTTCTATCTAAAGAATTCTTGGAATTAAAAAAATATGAAGCTTTAGCGCATAATACAAAAGTTTATTATGGACAAGATATTCCAAAAATGTTTATGTATGGTGGTTGTACTAATGATCAAGAATTAAGTTCAAATATAAACATTAAAGATAATCAATCACAAATGTTATAAAATAATTTATTAATAAAGATTACATTAACTGATGACAATGAAGATAAATTGAGTTATATAGTGAATTAAGAATCATCTGATTACTTTTAAATCACACATATTTTTTTGAAATATTTTTAACATATCTAAAAAAGTATATCTAAAAATATCTGCACAAGAACGTATACTTTTCTTATGTGTCATTAGATTTAATTGATAATGAATAATGTTACCATATTTTTTAAATAAATAACATTAAAAAATATTAATAATTGTTGAACTTATTATCCTATATATATATATATATATATATGTTATCGTCTGTTTAAAATTTTATCGCCATAAAAGATGGACGCTAGCGACTTTAGCACACCTGTCGACAAAGAGATGCATAACTGAAACCTCCCTAAATTAATACAAAAGAAAATATCAATTTTCTTCGTACGCGCGTAAAACAAGTTCTACGGCTGATACAGTGTCAATATTATCACAATAAATGAATATTATCTTTATCTAAGATTCCTAAATCGATAAATTGTGTATAGCAAATACAAATACGAGACATAAAAATGACAGCAGTAAGTTTAAATATTATCTTTTATATTAATTTCTATGAACGGAGAAGTTTATGATCTAATCAATTCTCTTAGGTTATGTTATTGCGTGTTTGAAAAATAACATGTCTGATACTTATTATCTATCTACCTAATTTTAAATAAATTTCAGGAACATAAAAAATTTTTAAATGGTCTTTTAAACAGCATAGAAGGCCTACATAGTATATTAATCACAGATCGAGATGGTGTACCGGTTGTATCTGTAGCAGATGAGAAAGCACCAGAACTTGCTATGAGAGCAAGTTTTCTTTCTACTTTTGGAATGGCTACAGATCAAGCAAGTAAATTAGGACTTGGAAAAAATAAAATAGTTATCTGTATGTACAGCAGTTATCAGGTATTCAAATATATTAATCTTATCAGACATTATGCATATATATATATACAAAACATGTATCTTTTTGTATGTTTTTTCATGTATTTATTTACATTACAGGTTGTGCAATTAAATAAATTACCATTGGTTATAAGCTTTATTGCTAGTCATAATTGTAATACAGGTCATATTTTATCACTAGAGAATAAAATTGAACCAATTTTGAGCAACTTAAAAAGTGCAGTGGTAGAAGCCTGATGGTTACCTGTAGTTCACTATGGGTGATAAATAATAAATATTCTTCGAAGCACTTGTGTATATCTCTCGAAGGATAATTGATATGTTATTAGGCATTGTTATGTACAGTACCTATAATTGAAGGAAAATTGTTCTATATTTGTTTATTGATATTATTTCATGAATTATTGGTTTTTCTCACTTTTTATAAGAATGTATTCGTTAAATGTATTATTTTTAATGAGGTAATTGAATAAGGAGGTACATAATTTACGACATACGCATTCATATTTCTATTGAAAGATCTCGTAATAACGTATTCACATATTTATAACATGTTTTATAATACAATTCATTATAAAATATGTAATTATATTTGTTTAATACTAAACTATATTTATTGAACGATATATAATACATATGGGATAAATGTAAATAATATAAAAAATATATATATATATATATAGACTTATTCATATAACGTTACATGAAATTATTAAAAATTAATGATTTTTTTGCTATGTAATATATATATTCATTTATAAATCATCAAAGTAAATACTCTGCTTGTTAAATAGTTTTATTTATTCTCTGTGACTTGTAGCAAATCCATTAATACTTATAATTCATAAACTAAAGGTTTGTCATCTAATCCATTGAGAATATTTTGGGCTGCAATTATAGACATATCGTTGCGAGTCTTTACTGTGGCACTACCTAAGTGTGGTATAATTACTGTAAAAAAGAAAAAAAAAAGCAAATTTACGTATAAAACTATAGTGATAAATATGTTAATATTAATATAAAATTTCTTATATATTATATATTCACCAGCATTAGGAAGTTTTAATAATTCATGATCTTTTGGTAATGGTTCAGGATCTACAACATCTAAACCCGCAGCAAAAATTGTATGATTTTTCAATGCTTTTACCAATGCATCCGTGTCTACAACTTTTCCACGTCCGACATTGACGAACACAGCATTTTTTTTCATTTTACCAAAAGCAGTATCGTTAAATAAACCATGGGTTTCATTGGTCAATGGAGTAGCAACAATAACGAAATCACTTTGTGCAAGAAGTTCGTCTAAAGATACAAACTTAGCACCTAAATCTTTTCCTAATATTAAATAAATTGTAAAAAAAAAATTAAAAAATGAAGTTATAATAAAAGAATTTATTATTTATACAAATAAAAAAAAAAAAAAAATATCTTTAATTTTTTACCATGAATACGGACCTGCTTTTTTTTCCGAATGGCCGGTATATAGAAAAGTGCTTACTCCAAATGGCACCAAACGTACGGCTACAGCTTGACCAATATTTCCTAATCCAACTATTCCTACCGTAGAATTACGTAAATCGTGTCCAAGTAACCAGTTCAAGCTAGTTTTCACATTTCCTCTAAAATACAATTATAAATAACGACATTTATTTCGCGTTCTCATGTCTAAAGTATTATAAATTGTTCCAAACAAGTGCAAATTATATATAAAAAGAAATCGTATAGGATAAAATAGCATGTTAAAAAAAGAATATATATATATATATTTTATATATATATTATATATTTTATTATTATATATTATATATATATTTTTTATATATATAAAATTTTTGTTGAATTTATTGAAATTTGTTTTATATCAAATATGCATATTTCTCTCTCTCTCTCTTTCTCTCTCTCTCTCTCTTTCAATTATTATTATTATGTTTAAATTAATATATAGCTTGCGACATTACTCTTCTAATTTTAAACGTCCTTCGTGACTTCGTCGGGCTGCGCATAAAGTCAACATGACTGCAATTTCTGCAACTGCGTCTGACAAAACCCGAGGTGTATGACCGACCTTAATACCACGTCGTTTAATTTCGGGAACGTCCAAATGATCATAGCCAGCTGAGAGAGTAGATACAACTTTTAAATTAGTTCCTATGAAAAACAATTTGAAATAATATACAATTGATATATTAATATAAAAAAAATATATATATATGAAATATCAACATAAAATATTAAATGTAATTCATGATCCTTTACTAAATTGAAATACTTGAAAATTTAATTTAAAAAAGAAAAAAAGAAACGTTTTCATACACGTGTGTATGAAAATTGCCTATCATCAGGGAGGATAAAGAAGAACATTAGTTCGAACATTCAACTGTCAGATGACTCTTAAAGTAAGAATTGAACATTTTCAAGATAATAATTGAATGAATGGTATATATTTTACATGATGGAAGAAAATCAAAATACTTATACGCACAATTAACTTCTACGTATGTTATTATGCAATATTTGTCTATTTTTCAAAGGATAAAAACTTATCAATCAATTAAGACATTCTACTCGAAGATAAACTTTCTTTCTTTCGTTTTTTTTCATTCAATACAAATTCAAGTGTACCTATATTTTATCAATGATATAATCGATAACAAGAATTTATCATGTTTAATTATGTTCGTATTTCCAATTATAATGATATTTTATTACGAAATTTTCTTTCGTTCATTTACCTGCGATATTCAAAAATTCGGTATTTACGTTGTAATGATTAGTAATCAAAACAGCGTTATATCCGGGAAGAGTTTGTAGGACATCTTCTCGTGTACTTTTATCATGTTGAATGATCGTAACGTCACATCTAAATTTAATAATATTTTGATAATTATACCATATGTTATAATATTATATTTTCAATATATCCTATTAAATTAATGACAATAGAAAATTCGTTTACTTAGATTCCAAAAGATCGATTCCAGGGGATGGTACATCGTTGCTTGTAACTAAAACACGTGGCCTTCCCATATTTGATTTCCAAACGTGTTTTGAAACTAAACTTGTCTTGCGTTAAGTATAAATAAAGACTAACGAGTGGTATAGCACTCGATCGTGTTATATAACCAAGATCGAACAGATTATTCACGCAGGCGCAAAACATAGAGATAAAAGGAAAGATAACAATCCATGACTTATTTATATGTCGAATGAGTATAAAAAATTATTATTTCTTTATTATTTTATCGTAGATAAAAAAGTAAAAAACATTAATTGTTTATACATTACAAATAGATAAGAAAATTGATATACGGTCACTGATAAAATTCAGAATATTAAAAATAATGAAAACTTAGCCATTCGTGACAATATTTTTTTGCGGTTCGGGACAAAATTAAGCGGTTCAACAATTTTAAGTATTTAGGATTGATTCTAAATCAAATTAATGAAACAAGGGAAGAACTTAAGGAAAGTATTAATTTGGGAAATGCATGCTTTTATTCGATTAATAAATTACTCGGTATTGTCTAGGAGTTTAAAAATTAGAATTTACAGAACGATTATTTTGCTGGTAGTGTTTTATGGCTGTTAAACAATGGTCAATTACGTTACAAAACGAGAAAAAATTTCGTGTATTCGAAAATAAGATTACCTCGAAAAATCATGCAAAAAGATAAAATAACACAACGTAGAATTACATCAATTATACAATAATTCGGATATTATTAATATCATAAAATCGCGCCGAACAAGATGGGCAGGTCGAGTGGTGCATATGGATAAGGATCGAACCGCATAAAAAGTATTAATTGATAAACATAATGAAGAAAAAAATCATTGGGTAGACCAAGACATAACATAGGTAGAAAGATAATATTAGAATGGATCTTAACGAAATGAGGATCTTGCTCAAGAATAAAAACATTGGCAGAATTTAGTATTTGCGTCAATGAACTTTTGAGTTCCTGACGCCATTTAATAATAATAATTACAAACACACACACATGCACATAATTTAATTTTTTTTTTTTATCATAACAGGACACTGTGGTTACTTCGACTGATAATAAAGTCTTTTTTTTTATTTCTTTATTTTTCTTTTTTGAAGAAAAATACATTGTCTTTATACTCATCAGAAATTATTTATTAAAATAGATATTTATTATATAAATAAATATTTCTTATTAACAAACTTTTATAATTAAATCTTTCTTATTATTAAATTTTTATTATATTAAATAGCTATTAATAATTATACAATTATATTATTGAAAGTTTAAAAAATAGATACTACGCAAGTATTATAAAAAATAATAAGCTTTTGTAATCAAAGAAATTTTAACAATGCGATAGCATTTGATAGCACAGTTGTCAGATAGAGTTTTATTATCATAATAGATTTTTATCATAATTACTATTATGTAATATCATCATTAGTATCATAAGAAAATGTATGTATTTATAAATTTCATTCTAAAAAAAAAAAAATATATATATATATTTTTTTTTATAACTTAAACTTATATTTAACGTTACAATTTAAATTTAAAAAAAGAAGTACAATATCGTATAATCAAATCTTATCACGTGGAAGTTGCTATTTTTGAAGAGACTTATCGGGCAACGACCTATTCTTTTATATTATTACGATTATTTAAAAATGAAAGGAATAACAATCAACAAATGAAAATCTAAGTTCCGGGATGATATGCCACTTCGTGAGAATTCATGTCTCGACGCTAACCGCAAACGTTCAAAGTCTGTCCAACTGATAGAGCTCAACCATCCAAAACCGGAAGTTTCAGTCATCATTATTAAGAACGACCGGTCGTGCTTTCGCGGTTCTACAAATTACATCGGGATCCACGATTGGACTTAAACAAAATCCGTACACGCGAGTGCACGCCCATATTCGCACAATCGTTTTACCTATTCTAACCGCATAGTAGAAAGGACTTTTGTTTTCTATATATAATACGGATACATTGAAAAAAAGAACTCCTCTATAAAAGTCTAAATTCTCTTGACCATAAACGGATCCAGCTTAAGATAAAAGAAGAAGAAAAAAAGAAAAAAGAACAAAAAACCACCAAACCAAGGGAACCACACCCAAGGATCCTCCATCCAAGAGCACCGCACAATAAAGACCTATAAGTAAGAATATATAAACATAAATAAGAATTCAGAAGAAAAATAAGAATAAATAAAGCATATAATTCAAATTTAATTGACTGAACAGGTGGTCACGGATGCTCAAAGTACCATGTGTGGCCAATTCGTGTATAAAAATTGCTCTGCATGCTGTTTCAAGAACAATTGAAGGAGGAAAGAAAAAGAGGAAGAAAAATCTATATGGAAAAATTTCCTGTAGAAATTCCAGATTGTTTAACATCGAAAAATTTAAAGGTATACAAAATTTTCAAATTTAATTTTCGAATTAATTAAATTCAATTTAATTAAAGTAATATCAAATTAAAATTATTTTATATTTAACCTTCGTTACGCTTATCTTAAATAAATTTTAAATAATCAAACACATCGTTTATTAAATGTTTAAATATTGACTAATGATAGCCACGATATTTATTTTTCGAAATTCACTAGACTAATGTATATATGTGTCTGTATATAAAAATGAAATATAAAATTAAATATAATCGATTACGATTAATGAATGGAAAATTATTAATCGTAGCATTGTCACTAAAAAGTGAAGTATCGAAAATAAAATTAAAAGATTAGAAAAAGGTTATCAAGTAGTAGCTATTGAAGGTGATGCCAAATAGTCGATTTATTTTTACGAATATCTTTTAAACGCGACATTCTCATAACAATACGAACAATGAAACTTAGAAAACGTGCATCAAGGAATCGATTAATATAATATATTGGAAGAGGATTTGCGTTTAGGAAAAATATGTTAATTACCTGTAATTAATGAGGACGATAAAAAATTCCACGTTTAGCCGTCAACGTCCAACAGGACAAAATGGTGTCATATTTATTGCTAAGCTTTTCCTCGCGCATGCGCAATAGTACATATTACGTTTTTTTTCATCTTTTTTTTTTTAATTATTTTTATTTATACACATCATCATTTATTTGGATTTAACAACTAACACGTGATTTTTAATAAAAAATATTCTTTGATCGTACACACATACACAAGTATATATATAAAAGTATATTTTATATATATATCCTTTCATTTATAATGTAAAGGTATTGATTCACATAGGATAATGACGATTCCAAAAAAAAAGCTATATATATAAATTAAGAAAAGACGTATAAGTGAAAATAACATTCATACCTACTTTGATTGTAAAAAGTTATTTAATGATAAAAGATTTTCATTTCAGAATAAATATGAAATTTTGATAAATTTTCAAAATGATTTAGAATATCCTGACCATACATGCATATTTATAAAAATTACAGAAGATATAAATTTACCTGAATATATAATAAAAGTTATAATAGAAAATATAGTAACAGATCAGGTACTTATTGAGACATATAAAATGTATGTACCTCAAGAAGTTTGTAGACCAACAATTGGAATGGGTTGTATATACAATATATACATATATATATATATATATATATATATATATTTATATATATATATATATATATTGTATACAAGTATAACTAAAAACATTCACAAATATATAATTGAAAATAAACTTTTTTTATGAGATTTTTTGGAGGAAAATCTTCACATGAAAATGAATCCTATTTTAGAAGTAGAAACATTGTGATATAATAAAATTATAACAAAAATATAAAAGTTCAGTAAAAAGTTGTGTGTTATTTAAAGGAAATAGAAATTTATATTTTATGTAGATAATAAAAATTTTATGGAGATATATGTATCAGTTGATTGATTCTATAATTCTAAGTTTTAATCAATTACAGATATAACAGGTTACTTTAATAATTTTTAAGTAAACTTTAATAAATATGAGCTCTAAATGTGATTAAGGATTATATTCTGTTGTAATAAAATAATTGTCATAGTCATATGTGAAATTTATAAGAGTTTTTATGTTTTATATAACAAATAACAAGAATGAAAACTATTTGCTGCACAGTAGCAGCAAAATACAAACATAATAGATTTTAGTACATAGCTAAAGTAATAGGTGTATACTATATGATTTTTTGTATTTATTTTTTACATTATAAAACTATATCTGTAATATACAAGTCTAACACATTGTAACTGTTTACAAAATCTTTTGATCTTAGAGCACAAACAATTCAATGTTCACTAGATTTCATACTACTCTACAAGTGAACAATTTTGTTTTATATTTTTCTTTCTTTTCTTTTCTGTTTTTTAAGAAATAATTTGTTATTCCTTCTTATAAAGTATATAAATATATAAATATTTTAAAATTTGTCATATGAACATAATGATATGAGATAAAAGAAATTAAAATATTTTTCAAATGCTTTATAAAACTTAAAAAAAAAAAAGATGAAATCATCTTAAAAAAAATCAACAGTTTAAGTAATAATCACAAGTATTATCACTTAAACTTATCCATTGAAGTAGAATAATAGAATAAATTTAATTACTCAATTCACTATCATCTATGTTACTAGATCTAGAACTTCCCATTCCAGTTTCGCAAACTTCATTGAATAATTCAGGATTCATTTGTTCCATCATTTTCCAAGCTAAACTTTTATTAAGTACTGTTAAATTTTCTTCGCAATAAGCCAAGCTAGCTCTTTTCAATACTTCACAACCAAATTCATCTGCTAATAACAATCGATTAGCTATATTATATGGAGTTATAGTTTCTATTAAATTCCTTTCACAAAGTTCTTTTAAACCTAGAAAAGTAATGATTTATTGGAATTTATCATGTGTTCACATTTAATCATTGTTATCATGAATACCTTGTAAACAAAAACGTTCTGCCAAACATAACAATTGAGATGCAAGATTATCCAAATTATCGACATGATCACTGTAAATATATCGTAGAAGTTCTTCCGTTATGTCCTTAGAAATATCTAATAATTCCAATGAATATAGATATTGATCCTATGAAGTGAAAAGTGAGATGTATTTTAAATAGAAGAGAAAGTTTCCTTTTTTTTTTTAAATTAATAATGTTAATTACTCACCTGTCAAAAAGAAAATATATATATATTTTTTTCATTTTAATTGCGATTAAATAAATCATAATAAATATTTCAACAACAAAAAAGAATAAATCACAAATTTTAAGTAAAATATATTTAAATACAGATTATTGAAAATAATATAATAATAATTAAAAAATATGCAAGAATATAAATGTAATGATCATTTCATAGTACTGTTCTAAGAAATCATAAATAAAATAAACAAAATAAAAGAAAATACATATACAAAGAAAAATAGGGAATGTAAAACGTGGAAATATTTTCAGCATTTTCATTGGATTTTTAGTTACTAAAAATTTTTAGTTATAGGCATCTAGTAACGTCGAAGGCATACTTCCTTATATCCTTTCTGTTCTTCATCCCTTTCCAATTCGTTATTTTCAATTCTTTCCAACTCAGTTTTTATTGGATAAACGGATACAGGAGATAACATTTCTCCTAGAACATTGCTACGAGCAGTTATTATGCTACTGTGTACTGGTATTTCTATGCCAGCCAATCCACCACAAATTAGTTTAGTGTCAGCTGTACGTGAATGTTTCAATAATCTAGCCATATCCTAGAAAATTGGCAAGTTAGTGAAACTCATAAAAGTCCAATAAAATTTCAAATGCGTATTATACCTGTGACAAATTATGTTTTTCACTTTCACATTGTACTATTTGTATTTTTACCATCAAGTCGATCTCGCCATTTTTCTTCAGGTGTCTGTCAACGATGGACAAATCTCTATACCCAAGTGAAATAATATCACTATTTGATTTTAATTCCAATATGGTTCTGCTAACATGGCAATATTCCCAATGTTTAACATTGGCATTGAATACAGCAAATTGAAAACGTATTTTTACTTGTTCAGCCTCCTTCACGATGCAATTCAATATATTCAAACACAATACTACTGGATTTTTGATTCTCTTGCCTATTAGCCAGGAAACATACGTCTGCATTTTTAACAATTATTTACCTTCCAGATAAATACTTTCAATATTACATAGATGATTAATTATAATATTCTTCTGATTTCTCACCCTCGGGTCCTTTCCAAAATCTAATAGATAAATTCCATGTACTTTGAATACCATTTACGTTCAATTCAAAAGATGGACTATCGATCGAGCTACTTTTCGAAATAGTTTTCTTATAATTTGCAATAGACCAGGTATATTTGAAAATGATATCTGAAAGTGTTGGTACCAAAAGCTCCATATTTCAATTTGATCTATATAATAAAAAAGAAAAGAAAAAAAAGGGGGAAATAAAAAAAAATCGTTAGAACGTGAGTCGAACATTTTATAAATATATGAATTAAATTTAAATTTTACGCCTGTAGCGGGACAAGTGTGTGCGCGTGCGCGCGTCTTTGATTTCGCACGAAATGTCGACGAATTCAAATTTTTGTATTTTTTCGAAATGTTAAAATCTGATCGTTTTCGTTAGTTTTTTTAAATCCAAACAATTCCATTTTTGTCAAGATGAAAATCAATATAGCTTGTTGACATTGTCGAGAGTAGAAGCCTACTTTCGCATGCGGACGGCCAAACGAATGCGAGTATTTAATCAATCGACCGTGGAAGTAGCTCGTAGGGATCGCGTGTTCAAATACACCTAATCAAGCTCAGTGCAATTTTGCAACATTACACACGACATTACACACGATCTTCTACGCGACCTGTTCGAGAAATACATATATTCCCACGTGCTCGAATGCTATGTATTATATATAAGTATATTCTCTCTCTCCCTCTCTCTCTCACTCTCCTTCCATTTTTCTCTCTTCCTTTGGCAACGATTTTAGTGTTGAAATTACAGCGGTAGTTTACGATCTTTGATTTTAGTTGCCAAAAACCTGCATAGCTTTAATACTAGTTTCTCTTTGCTATTTCCGTTTGAGCTTGTTTTCAGTTTGTTTTATTTGCTCAATACTCACATATCTTAAGTCACAATAGAATAGAATATAATAGATTTTTTCTTTTTTTTTTCTTTTTTTATTTTTTTACGTTTTTATTAGAAATAGGTCAAATATACATGGAACGGAAAATAATTAATAAAATTATCTCTTTAGAGAATAATATCGATTTTTAAACGTATGCAATTTCAATTCTTTGCAAATAATTAGTTAATTAAAAAAAAAAAAAAATTCAAAAACAAAGGAAATTAATAAAGTATATTTAAAGTGTGTATCGATTGGAAATTTTGAAATTTTTACACTTTTTTTTTTAAAGCTTCACTTTACCACATTCCTCGCTATAAAATTATAATATAAATTATCAATCATTGATAAATGACTCGTATATATTATTTTATAATGATATTGTTCCAATATCGATTCTTAAAATTATCGCAGGAAATAAAACGTTATCATTTCTAATTCCGTTCGCAAAAACATGTTAAGAATATAGAGTACCAAGAGCAAATAACTCTTAATTGGATTAATTAACGGGATAGTTAGAACGAATGACGCTTAATTGAAAGTAGACGATCCGAAAACACCACTAAAAGCAGATATCTCGTAATTATGTGTCGCAATGAGTCGATCAACGATTTCTTCGTTATATACAATAACGACGAATAACATACAAGTGGACTTAACAAAGAACGATCATTTGGAAAATTATTAATTTGTACAAGAAATATAAAAATTTCTTGATTATTATCAATTGTATTTTAAATATATTTCCTATATTGAATACCAATTCATAATGTTTAATAATCCAATATTAATTTATCTATATATATATGATAATGTTATTGCTTTATCTTTTTTAAATAAATAACAATAATAAAATTTACACTCACGTTAAGGCACATATATATATAAATGCATACACACACACATACACACGCACATATATATATATATATATATATACTTGAAGTTTACTTTAATGTAAATGCGAGAATTAAATATTCATTCGAAAATAATATTCTATATAAAGAAAAATACAACTTCTGACTTAAGAAAAATTGTCGACTGAATTATGCCAAAAATTTATAACCCGCACAAATAATCGCACAAAACAAAAACACTTGTTGTACTATTAAATGTCCAATAAAAGCATTTAACTATTATTTGATATGAATAACAAATTATCTCGTGAAAGAAAATGTAACGATATTCGTACAATGCGAGTACTCCAAACCAACTGAGAGTTTGGATCATCGTCGTGAGGATTATGCGTTTCTCTACGTCCACTTAAAATTGTTACACATGCAAATACATTGTGTGTGACGTTTATAAATGGAACTAACTTCGTAAAAGTACTTCACTCTCATTTGGAACAATGAATAATTTTATTTACATTTTACAATCATTTGATTTCATTGAATAAGTTGTAATCATATATATCATAGAAAAATAAAAGATAAACGTAAAAAAATAAAAAAAAAAAAACAAGATTCATTATATTCTTTTATTTCTTTTAATTTGATTTTCTTTTAATGTATGTTAATAAAGTGGATAAAATTTAACATATAAAAAGAAACAAAAGTATATAAAATGTAATCCATGGTATAGAATTATCTAATCCTTTCTCATTTCATTAATAATTATCATTTAAGGGCTTTACAAAGTAATTCGCATAAGCTTCAAAATTAAAATTTGTTCAAAATTTTGAATATGTTTCAATTAAATTAAAAATAATAAAATATTATATTCCTCTAACCTTGACATTCCTTTTAGCCAATCACAACAAACTTCCGATCAGATGATGCTTTCGCATTCATCTGATTGGTTAACTGTTTACATTGTTAGGATATATAGAAATAAGATTAGAGTTTTTCGATGTTTTTCAATGAAACAAGCGATCTGTGAAAAGGTTCACGAAATGTCAGCATTAATAATAACGTATGATCGAAATATACTTGGAAATCATGAAATCATAATTATGTCATCTAATAATCATCGTTAAAGATTAAAATATAAATCACACATATATATATATATATATATATATACATATATGTATATATATATATATATTATATATGTATATATATATATGTATATATATATATAGCTTGGAATGTAGCGAGGAAAAAAGGATGATTTTAAACCTATATATATGAACATCAATAATCCGTATAAATTCTAAATAAGAAAATAGGCCGATCGATCTATATAATTTTTTGGAAAATTCTTTTTATGCTAAAACAAACGAGAAAAAGAAATTTTTTCCTTGTCTCCACATAAAGGATTAATTTCTTTTTTTTTTTGCATAAATATATATCAGTTTAAAATAAAAGAATTGTTGATTCATTATTTATGTTCAAAATAATTAATTTCGTTGTTTATAATCTTTTACATGGAGTTTTACATCATTAGAACGAAAGAAAATCTTCGTTATTAATAATTATAAATTAAATAATTCGAAAAATAATATTCGTCTTAGAATATTATGAATCGATTAGTTCAAAATTGTTTTTCTTTTATACAAAATAATATCCATCATTCTAATGATTATGAAATTTTATTGGTTACTTTTTCGATTTATAATCACCACTCGTTCTAGGACATCATACAATTCTATTTACTAAACTGTTTCGGTTCTATTGAAATTCTAATACTATAGTGATTGTACAAATGGTATTGGTTGGTTTATTGATTTTTGACTACGTAAATGTAAAGAATTTTCTTTTTTTCAAGCTTCCTGTAAATTTCATTTACTCTTATGAAGATATTTGAATTGTTTCTTTTCTCTTTAATAAATTTACGTTTTTATAATTTATATTGATTTACTTTTATTTAATTTAATCACGATTATTAGAGATTTCACAAATTTGACTTTATTGGTACTTGATTGAAATTCCAGGTAGATTTTTAGTATATAAGCACGTATATAGTCTTTCACCTTTCTTTCATTCGTCTTTAGAAGTGGCTATATGAGGAAGTGATTAGTTTTGGAACCAGGTCTAGTGAGTATGTATAGATTTATACGATTTATAATAAAAACGCTTTCTGTTTATTAATCCAAATAATGATATATATATATATATATATATATATATATATATATATATGATCTTTTTATTCGTTTTTTATAGATTCAATTGTGATTAAAAATGAACATATCAACGCAAAAATTATTATCGGCTTTATTCGGTATTTGTTTTGCAAATTTAAGTTTCTCTATAATTCATTGGTGGTTGAAGGTAAAATAATGATTTTAAGAGAATATACAAAATGTTCTGGAATAAGTAAAAAATATTTTGGGTAGATCATATTAAAACAATAAAAAAAGTTTCTATAAGTATATGTCCTATTTGACTTTGTTTTCTATTTAAATTTAATTTTCAACAAACTTTATCTGCTTATTTTCGTAACAGATGTTCGAAATGACCTTTTTGTATCTGAATATAATTCTATAGACATCTTACCAATGATTACCAGTTTTATTCTTTACATATGTTCAGATATTGCTCGGGTTTTTTGGAAACTTTGTTCAATTCTTTCATTTCATCAAATTTCATCTATCTAATAAAAGAATTACTACAATACATGATATAATTTGTAAAAAAAGTCAAATAGGACATACATCTATATAAAATATTTTTATTGTTTAGATATGCTGAAATCAGCCCTAAAATATTTTCTATTTATTCTGAGACACCCCGTATATATTGTAATATATATATATTTACCATAATGTTATTCATTTTGTAGCATAATGATAAAAAAAAGAACTATATACTTATCGATAAAGATACATTTAAAAAAGTCATTAAATTAAGAAGGAAATATGTACCCACTATATTAAAAGAAGTAGAGAGGATACAGGAAATGTCTAGTACTTCCATTAATTTTGAAGATAATAATTTACAATATCCTGATTGTACGTGCACAATTACAGGAACTAAAACAAACATAGATGTAGCTGTAGCTTTAATAGAGAGTAAAACAACAGATACGGAAATGATTAAAACATATGAAATAATTATATCTGCAAAGAATTATGAAAATATAATTACACTATGTGAAAGTAATTTAAGTGAAATAGAAAAACAAAAAAAAAAATATGTAAATATTATTATAGAAAAACCAGTATTAGGTACTGTATTACTATTAAATAATATTTTTTAATACTTCCTTTTTCATAGAAAATTGATATCTCTCAATGAATGTGTACATTTATTAATTTAAAGAACTATTTCACAGATAATAAAATGAAAATACTAATAAAAGGTTATTTTACTCAAATTGTGAACACATTTGATTATCTTGAAATAAAGTTAAAAGAACTGAACTATAATGAAAATGAAGTACTAGAAGAGGAATATATAAGAAAGGAAATAGAAGGACAAGAATATGGAGAAAGAAAAGTAAAAGAAGAGGAATATAAAAGAAAGGAAATAGAAGGACAAGAATATAGAGAAAGAAAAGTAGAAGAAGAGAAACCTATGGTAAATGAAATAAAAGAACAGAAATATAACGAAGAAAAAGTGGTAGAAGAGGTTTCTATAACAAAGGAAATAAAAAAACAGGAATATAAGGAAAAGAAAGTTGAAGAGGAATCTATGATAAAAGAAAGCATTTCCCCTGTCGAAGAACCTTCTAAAATATCTATAAAAACACAAGGAGAATTAATTTCATATGGCAAGATTATAATTAATGTATAAAAGTTAAGCAAAAAGTTTGATCTTATTTACAACAACTATAAATTTATATTTTATTTTTGTAGATAAAGTAACATCTGTAGACGTATATGTAACAAAAGTGTCTAGTTACCGTTATATATATTTTCGATTGGCTTCTGAAAATGAAGCTTTACGTAAATTACATGCTGATATGGCGAAATATTATAAAAATATCTTAAATCGCCAAGGCCATAGATTGGATACGGTCAGTATTATTTATGATTAAGGATTATATTCTATTATTGAAATAAATATTACAAATGAATTTATAAGAATTTGTTTTATGTAACAGATAAATAGAGGGGATATAGTAGCAGCAAAATGCAAAAATGATGGACAGTGGTATAGAGCTGAAATAATAGATATATACCGGACATATGTAAATGTTCACTATATAGATTCTGGCTATAGAAAACTAATACACCAATATAATGTATTAGGAATTCCACAAAATTTTTTGCAACTTAGAGCACAAGCAATTCGAGGTGGACTAATCTTTATTGGATCGCATAAGTACGTAATTTTATATTTTATATATTTTATTCATAGAACTAATCTATTCAAATTGCTAAAATGATCACTATAAATATATTGTGAAAGTTGTTAGCCTGTTATGTCTTTAGAAATGTTTAACAATATCAATGAGTATAGATATTGGAATTCTATGAAGTGACAAGTGAGATAATGTATTTAAGTAAAAGAGAAGAAAAAAGAATTTCTCTTTTTTAGATTAATAATAGTAATTATAAATCTGTGTAAAAAAATATATGCATTTTCTCATATAAATTACAATCACATAAATCAAAATTAATATAATATTTAGAGAAAAATATTACAAATTTTTTAAATGAAATATATTTCAATACAAATTATTAAAAATAATATAGCATGCAGATTAAATAATAAGCAAAAATATAAATATTATGTATATGATCTTTCTATAATACTGCCTCATCATAAACTAAATAAATAAAGTATAATAAAAAAGTACAGATTAAATGATAAATAAGAAATGAAAATGTGTATATTTCGTTAGGTGTATTCATTCTATTTTTAATTGGTAAAGATTTTTAATGATGAGCATCGAGTAGGGTCGAACGTGTGTACTTTCGTATATCTATTCTGTTTTTCATTTTTTCTTAATTCAAGTTTAGCTTTCATTAAAGAAATGATTATAGGAGATAACATTATTGCTAGAACATTGTTACAAGCAATTATTATTCTACCGTATACTGGTATTTATAAGTGTCAGCCCCTCTTACATTAATTAATTTATTATCAGTCGTATGTGGATATTTCAATAATCGAGCCAGAAGACGAGTTAGAATGATTTACGAGTTTTACTTAAATACATTATCTCATTGACTTTTACTCAAATACATTATCTCATTGAAGAGTTAGAACGGACATATAAAAGTCCAATATAAATCAAAATACTTTTCACTTTCATATTGCATTATCTGTATTTTGACTATCAGATTAAACTCAATTGTTCTTCTTTAGATGTCTATCGATGATGGATAAATTTCTATACTCAAGTGAAATAATATTATAATTTGATTTTAATTTCAATATCGTTATTAACGCGATAATATTTCACATATTGGCATTGAATCCAGCAAGTTGAAAATGTATTTGCACAATTGTCTCTACTCCTTTCCTCCCTGATGTAGATCAATATATTCAAATATTATAAAATATTTTACTCGATTTATGATTCTCTTGGTTATTAGCAATAAGAAACATATGTTTGCATTTTTAATAATTATTTATCTTCCAGATAAGTACTTTCAATATTAGATAGATGATTAATTCTAATATTCTTCTTATCTACCAATCACAGATCCTTTTCAAAATCTAATAGATAAATTCATTGTACTGTGAAATATCATTTACGTACAATTCGAAAGATGAACTATCGATTGAGTTACTTTTCGAAATAATTTTCTTATAATTTCCAATAGATCAGGTATATTTAAAAATGATATATGAAATTGGTACTATCAAAAGTATCCATATTCTAGTTTGATCTATATAATAAAAAAGGAAAAAAGCAAACAAGAGAAATAAAAAAAAAAAATCGTTAGATCTTGGGGAAAAAAAAATCGTTAGAACATTTTACAAATATACGTGTTAAATTTAAATTTCATGCTTGTAGCAGGACAAGTGCGCGCGAATACAAAATTTTTGTATTCGTTCGGAAAGATAAAATCTGATTATTTTCCCTAGCTTTCTAGATCGAAAATGATATCGTTTCGTTAAGATGAAAATCAATATAGTTTGTTGACATTGTCGAGTAGAAGCCCACTTTCGAAAGCGAATACGAATTTAATCAATCGATAGTACGAGTAGTAGCTCGTAGGTAGATCGCGTGTCCACATACACCTAATCAAGCTCTGTGCAACTTCGTCACGATACACACGACGTTACACGCGACCTGTTAGAGAAACATACGTATTCCTATGTTCTAGAATCCTGTGCAATATATATATATATATATATAAATGTGTGCGACTCCTACTATCTCTGTCTCTCTCTCTCTCTCTCCTGCTCTGTTTCTCTCTTTGGCAACGATTTCAGAGTTAAAATTACGTTGCTGGTATACGATCTTTGATGTAGCCTTGTGAGTTGCAAGCATTATGAGTCTTTAATACTATCTCACTGCCAAAAACTTCCATTGCTTTGCTTTACTTTGCTTTACTTTGCTTTGCTTTGCTTTGCTTTGCTTTGCTTTGTTCTAACTCTCTCTTTGTTATTTCCGTTTTAGCTTGTTTTAAACCTGTTTGTTGTGAGCTTTCCTTCTAAACAACTCGACTCACAATGGAATGATTTTGTAAAGAGTAGAATTACATACTATAGATCGATAAAAAAATAATTACAAGAGAATTTAATTAACGGATAATATTATTTTATATGTGTAATTCGATTGATAAATAATTTACAAAAAAACAAAACAAAATATATTTGATAAAATATTATTTTATGAAAATATCGATTTGTTGGAATTTTAGTATTTTTTATTTTTTTTTTTTTTTTTTTTTTTTTTCAAAGCTTGCATTATCGCACCTTTTTTCATTGATAAGATCTTCGTAAAGTAAATTCGATTAAATAATAATTAACACGTGCACGTTATCGTAAAAATAATTTGTTGTGCAATCAAATTCTTTCAAATTGAATGTTTAAAAATTATTACCGATATTAAAAGAAAAATTTATTTCTACATTTTTTTTTTCTTTTTTTTTTTTTTTATTATTCTTACGTCGTATACACGAGAGTCCGTTCATAAAACATGTTAAGAATATAAGTTAACGAGAGTGAATAACTCTAATTGGATTAATTAACGGAATGAATAGTTGCGTCAAATGACGCTTAATTGAAAGAAGTCGATCCGAAACCCTTACGGAAAAGGGAGATAATACCTCGTAATTATGTGTCTCAATGAGCCGGTAAATTATTTCTGCGTTTTTTTTTTTATGATTATTCCTTTTGTATATATTTTTAATCATTGCTTTTTTTTCATTTTACTATGCATGAACATACATACACACAAACATAACCGACTTGTCTAATTCAAGTGTATTCCAGTTTAATCGTAATAATTTTGACGTCTATTTTAGATTTCGAACACATTCTCTCTCTCTCTCTCTTTCTCTCTCTCTCTCAGGCACATTCTAACATGTGAGGTTTTAATTGGACGTTAACAAGATTTCGGTCGGATTAGAGAATTCGAATTTACGCTTTCTAGCTTATCGAATTCATCCCTCCACAAGAAGTCATTGAGTATAGGGAGGCTTTAGTGGTTTTGCAATCGTCGAAAAGTTTGACGTACATTTCGTGCTATTGATATCCGTTCTAATGCAATTTTCTCATGTCGTATTAAACGAACGAATAATGGATTATCACAATGTTTCATCTAAGACAAATATAATATATTTTTTCATTTCGAGTATCTATTTATGAAATTAAATTAGAACAATATCTAATAAATTCGACTTAATACATTTCATTCTTATACAATTTTCTCACATCGTATTAGATTGATAAATATTAATTGAGATATCGTATTAGATCAAAGATACGTAGAAAATTTTAGATTTTATCTATTTGTTAATTTGTATTTTGATTTATCTGTGTTTTTCTCTCTCTCTCTCTCTCTCTCTCTCTCTCTCTCTCTTTTAATTGACACAGATATATCTCTTTTTTATATCTTCTCTAATTTAGACTGGAAAGTGGATCACAAGACCAAAAGAAAAGAATCAAAGAAATAATTAACCAATCTGGCGATAACATCGCTCGTATTCGGGGTTATGAAAGAAGATTAAAGTCTTTAGGAAAATTGTATCCTAAAAATTCACCATTTCCATTAATCGAGCTCTATAATAAGGTAAAACGAATACACACATACACACACAGAATATATTAGAAAAAAAAAAAAAACAAAATTTACTATATTTTAATTTTTTTCTAGGGTGGATCGGTAAATGAAAATTTGGCCGCAAAAGGTTTGGCACATATAATGAATGAGGAATATCCACATTGTTATGTAATTCCATGGACTTTTACAAAATTTTCGAACGTGAGTATTTATATCTTATATTTTATATATTGTTAAATATCTAACTTTTTTGTTGTATTATATTTGTATAATTATGTTTACATCGATACAGGAAACATCTAATAATGATCCTATTCAGATAGAACCGTCTAATAATGAATCTGATCTATCTAAAGAAATATATGTTCACTCTGACGACGAAGATCATGTAGATATATGTAGTAATCCGGAATTCATTAATCACAATTCCAAATATGCATTCCCAGACGATGATAATGGTGGTTGGTATAGTGTAGACGTAAGCGATGAGGAATATTTTGACAATGGAGACTGGTACCGTCGGAATGGTTATATAAAAGAATTTATTAGTATTGGAGGTGAAGCAGCTGAAATAAAAATGATGCTAGAATTGGAAGAATTGTTAAAGGAAGATGAATTCCAGTTATTTCGCAGAAAAGAATATGAAGAAATTCCTGTAGGTCAAGATGACCATCTTTATTTCCCAGGAAGTCGTTTTACAAAAGTAGATGGTGTACGAGTATTTGATGACAGACCAACATCAAAACGAGTACCAGAAATAATCCATATAGTAAAGGATCATCTAAGAACAAAAAGAAGCCAGGAGAGAATAAAAATTCTTAAAATAAATGAAACGAATGACAAAAGTGATATACAAACAGATTCTAATCATAATTGTAAAAAGAAAGAAAAATGTCATAAACTCAAAAATTCAAATAATCTAAACATTGAAAAAACTGGATTTGAGAGTGACATATCCGATGAATTCGATGGACTTAAATTAAATTAGATTAAGTTTACTATAAAAATTAAATATTCACAATGTAAATAGAAACGAAAAGTACCAGAGTACAAGTGTCAATTTATTCGTCGTCATAATGCTAATAGTAATGTCTAATATAGATGGTAATTTAAACAGCATTTTTATACGTACGATATTTTTATATGAGAATTTTACATCCTTAAAAATTTTTACATTTACCAAGTATTTACATTTAATAATTTTTTGCATAATTTATGATGACAATGTTGTAATGAAGTATTAAATGTTTTATATATATATAACTATAATTATATATATAATATATTAGGTAAATGAAATGCAAGGTAATTTATTTGCTATATAGAATTATTATAGAATCTAACTTAACTTTGTTTAACTTCTATTAATAATAGACATCTATTCAAATAAATGAAATGTATATATGTATATATAAAATAGACAATGGAAATTGATTGAAAAGTTTTATGTTTGAAAAGATCTGTATATTTTTATTTTATATTCATTAATATGATTGTAATTAATATGATTAAAGAATAAATATCAGATATATTCTTTTTTTTTTTTTTTTTAGATATATCTTATCTATTAAAAACACTTTTTGTTAAATATTTTTACTCTTAGATAAAAGTATCTATTTTTTGTATAGAAGCAGCACATACAAAATATTCTTTAAAATTTTTTTCGTCATATATCATAATAATATTAGGTTGGAGAAAAAGAAATCCATTATTTTTTTGGTAGATGGTTATAGTGATCGATATCTTGTAAAGTATCGATCAAACAATTTCAGATTTATGCTCGTTGTCAAGGTGACATTTCATACTAAAAAAATTATTTTGCTGCTTTTTGTTTGGACCATTCAGTTGTGAGTTACAGAGTTTTAAAAATGGAAGTCAACAAAGAGAAAATTCGATAGATTTTACAGTTTTTCTTTGATAAAGACGAAAATGCAAGCCAGGCGGTTGAAATTGTGAATGATGTTTATGATCCCGATAACAGCTAATTACGTGCAATTTTGGTTTCGTCGATTCCTTTCAGGTATTTTTGATGTTAAAGATGCACCTCGCACGTCGTCGAAAATGTCGATAAAATTACAGAAATAATCGAGGTTGACCGGCATGTTAGTAGTCGTAGCATCGCCCAGGAGTTAAAGATCGATCATAAAACAGTTCTAAACCATTTGCACAAAGCTGGATTAAAAAAGAAGCTTGATGTTTGGATGCCACACCAATTAACACCAAAAAACATGATGGATCGAATTTCCATCTGCGAAGCCTTGACCAAACAGAATAAAATCGATCCATTTCTTAAACGTATGGTGACTGGGGATGAGAAATGGGTCACATACGACAATATTGTGCGAAAACGATCGTGGTCAAAGCATAATGAAGCAGTTGAAATGGTGCTCAAACCAGGGCCTAACGGCTAGGTAAGTTCTGCTGTGCATTCGGTGGGACTGGAAAGGAATCATTTATTATGAGTTACTTCCACATGGCCAAACACTAAATTCGGATCTCTACTGTCAACAACTGGAACGTTTGAAGCTAGCAATTGACCAGAAATGGCCAGAATTGGCCAACAGAAGAGGTATTGTGTTCCATAAAAACAACGCCAGGCCACACACGTCTGTAGTGACTCGCCAGAAACTCCGGGAGTTTGGTTGGGAAGTTTTAATGCATCCATCATATAGTCCGGACCTTGCACCGAACAATTACCATCTTTTTCTCGCAATGCAAAAAGTCCTGAATGATAAGAAATCGGCATCAAGAAAAGATTGTGAAAATCAATTACTAGAGTTTTTTGCCAATAAGAACCAAGACTTCTATGAGATTGGCATTATGAAGCTACCTTTAAAATGGCAATAAATTATAGAACAAAACTGTGCATATTTGACCCAAATCGAACAATCCAAAAGATGTTAGATAAAGTTTTGAAGTTCACGCAAAAATAATGGATTTCCTTTTCCTCAACCTAATATTTTTACATTAATAAATATTCGGAAGAGTATAAACAATATTATATATCATAATTGATATTTTATAGCATAATCAATATTTTATATCAAAGATGTTTTGCTCTTCCATTTTATATATATATATATATATTTTTTTTTTTATAATCGTTTTTACTTTGTATATATTTTGACTTTTTTTACAATGTGCGTGCTTTTTTATTTACAATGTAATAACGTTATAATGTTTTTATGTAACGAACTTTTCTTAGATACATTTTGGCGATATGTTTTTTTAATTATTATCATGTTTGAAATTTCTCTGCGTTTGTACGTTCGAGAAAGTGTTTAATGTTTAACAGAGAAGTGAAAAAAAGTGAGATAAAGAAGTATTACAAAAAAGAGACAAGAAAATATATGTATAATTATTATGATGATATACGAAAATAATAGTGTTTATTAATCCCCTTTCACTTTTCACTCCATTACGATCCTTTTGATAGACATAACGAGAGCGTGTCTGAAAGATAGAGTTTTTCGGGATTTCTTGTGCGGAAGTAAAAGTTAGACGGTACGACCGCAAAATAATATTATAGATAGCATGGAGGTGTTCAAAAGAAATAAGCAATACCTAATCGAAAGTCAAACTAAAAAGAATAAAGAGAGAGTATATTGGACATTTATTTCTCTTCGATTATTATTTAACCCCCTACGAGAACGAGATACACAATATGTATTAATCCATAATGAGAAAAAAAAAGTAAAATTACAAAAAAAAAAATTATAAAAATAAATAATAAATAAATAAAAAATAAATCGAAAGAAGTCAACAAATAAGTTCAAAGAAGAAAAAAGAAAAATGTGACAACATATTTCACAAACCCTTTAATCGTTAAATCTTATTTTTTACTTTAGTGAAAACGTATATACGACTACTAGTAACAGCAACTTACAATAGGATAAACACGTTACAAGAACTCTACGAAGAGAAATAATTACCTCTATTTTGAGAGATATGATTCTTGGTACAACAACTCGGTGGTCGGGTAAAACGAGAAAGCTGCGGCCAAGCGGATCTGTATAAAACGTCGCTGACGGAGACTCTCTCCTCAGTTCATCTAACATCCGAATTCAGTTCGACGATACAACAATGAATAATTTGGTAAACGTCAATTATTATTTTTCCTTTAGAAAGTAATTGTTAAATAGATTGAAGTATCTAAATATTTGAGAAATTTTTTTTCCAATAATTTTCCATTCGTCCAAAATCAATCGAATTAAGGATTATCACAGAGAATTTGATTCATCAAAAATGTTTCCAAGTGATTTAACCAAATCAATTAATTTTATATATATATATATATTTTTTTTAAAGATCTTTTTGGCTATTCTTCCTTTGCGCAAATTGTAGAATCACATGTTGAGAAATTTTGGTACGCTTTAGAAAAGAAAAGTGAGATTGGCCTATAAAAAGGTTTCGGAAAAGAGTAATCGATTTTCAAAATCACCAAGAAACTTTTTTCATCCCAATTGAAAATCGCCTAGATAAAGATTAATTGATTTTGAAAAAGTATCTAATGCACAAAGCAAGCTGTCTATTACGTTAAATTATCAGTGACACAATTTTTTCTATTATACAGGGTGTCGTCCTATTATTATTGACGTCGTACGGTGTATGTGATGTATTAGCTGGTAGGCGTTACATTGCTATACCCATTGATGGCATAGACGTGTTAGAATTGAATCCGATATCACTATCGGCTTCAAGAATTGCTCGTCAAGCAGATCCGGCGGCTTACGTACCTATAGCCGTACCAAATCTTCATCACGAGGAGTTGGAGAATTCACGAGCTGAGAGATCCATCGGTCAAATTCTGGATTATGTGGATTATGGTGGACATACCGGATCTAACGGTGCATTTGGCTGGTACGCCGATTATCCAGCACATCATTAATAACCATATACCTTACGAAT